GATAGAGAGATGGACAGATCTTCCTCAGGACAGCCCTGCTAATTAGGTGGTAGCAAATGATCTTTGTTAGTTGGATGGTAGCACATTTTTCCGCCTTGGGTGAATGCCCTAGCTCCAGGCCAGTTGGGTAGATTTTTCAAAAAGGAGTATTATTCTTACAGTTGATATTTTCTTCAGAGCCTCTGGATATGCCTTTGAACCGCTGCTCAGGGATAAGCTTATTGGTTACAGGTATCAGTACATTGATAATTCAAAGTTAAAAAAAAAAAAGCAGCCATTTTGTCTTATTCTTCTGACTGGTCATGATTGGGTGAGGCTACTTTAGCTGACTAAAATCAGCTGGGAACAGGAGCCCTGGGTGTAGTGAGTGTTACCTCATGGAGAGGTAAGTGTTGCCTAGTGCTGTTCCAGAATATTCTCTATGTGGGCATGTGTATGTGTCTGTCTGTTGTCTGAGTTGGTACCATCAGAGCCTATGGGGATATATGGGAAGAACTATATTCTCAGCCTACACAACTCCCAGCCATCTTTTAGGATCCAACTCAGATGTTATCTCCTCTTTGAAATTTTCCAAACTCAGGGAAAGTCAGTTTCTTCTTTCATACCTCAGGTATTTACCTCTACTAAAGGGTTATTGGTATTATTTACTTACATCTGTGTCTTTCACTGGACTTCTTTAAGGTATAAACTGTTATTCATCTTTATATACCCACATTTACTATGTGTAATGCACTCTTGTAATCACAGAAGGAAAATAATGTTGATGTAAACTGACAGGTTCTTACTGTCATATGGAGGTGACAGGAAGTGGAGAGGTGCTCACTGAATGGTTGTAGAAATAACTTTAATTGATATTCCTGAAAGGTTCACTTCTCTACTTTCATGAGTGGAGAATTGGAGTGTCCACTAATTTGACCTGCGACCCTGTGGTGATTTTTTTTATGGTGTTGACATATGATTTCTTGCATACATAATATTGTTTAGTCTCCAACACACATTTATTTATTGACTGCCTTTTAGGAAGAGTCTTTAATGAAATCAAGTATCAAACACAAATGAAATGGTAGAAACTCTGTTATAATATTTTATTAGACCACGAGTTGGAAAGGCAGGTTTTGGTGTAGATAAAGTTGGGAAACAGTCACTAAGAGGTACTGAAGTACCTATAACACTTGAGTGGCTGATATTATAGTTTTCTGAATTCGAAAGTTTAAAAAGACAACAAGAAAAAATGTAAAAACTTCTCTCTCCAGTAGGTTATTTAAATGCATTGCCAATGCCTTAGGTTGTTTTGTAGAGCTGCTCAAGGGAGTGGTCTGGAAGAAAACAAAGCAAAGCCACTGTTATCCTCATCCTGGGAAGCTGAATGTGCTAGTGTAGTTGATCTTGCCTCTGCTTCCCACAGAGGGATTTGTTCAGAGGACACACCAGCTGAGCCTGCACTGGGAGTTGCTTATTGGGGAAGTGAACGTCCCAACTAATGGGCACGCAGAGTGTGTAGCAACTTAGAAGTCTTCCTTGTTGGCAGATCTCAAACTTCCCTTCTTCATACATGCAAAGGCCTCGAGACGCTCAGAAGTTGTGGTTTCTGAAGGCCCAGAGGCTTATCAGCCCCCTCTAAAAATATTCGCCAAAGGCAGGCAAAAGAAACGGGTTGTAACAATAAACTCCATTTAGTTTCCTTCTCTGGTTCTGGTTTGTGCTTTTTCCATCTTGCCTGGAAAAACCAGAGCCTACTAATGGTGTGGGAACCTAAAGGGATAGCAGGCAAGAGATCTGAATTTTATTCCAGTTCTGCCTCTTTTTTTTTTTTTTTTAAGATTTTATTTATTTATTTGAGAGAGAGAGAACGAGAGAGAGCAGGAGAGGGAGGAGGGTCAGAGGGAGGAGAAGCAGACTCCCCACCGAGCAGGGAGCCCGATGCGGGACTCGATCCCGGGACTCCAGGATCATGACCTGAGCCGAAGGCAGACGCTTAACCATCTGAGCCACCCAGGCGCCCCCAGTTCTGCCTCTTAATTGGACTTGTCTCACCTTGCCTCACCTTTCTCCTGCTCTCCACCCTCTGCCTTTATCTATGGATTTCTCCGGTCTTCAGAGACATGCTGAAAAGAGTAAATATGTGTTTTTCTGAACCAGAATCTCGAGTCCTGGCTTAGCCTGGCCCAGAGAGAATGCAGATACAGCCTTTTCATCGTGGTCTTTTCTGCCTGGCCCTCCATTGGGAGACCTCAGTGGCTCCTGAAGTCAGGCCTTCCATGTCACATTGTCACCCTATCAAAGAAGTGAACCAGCACCGTTTCAGTTCTTTCTGACTCTCAGAACTAAAGAAATTTGTCTGCATGATTAGCATCTGCTATATTGCCCCCAGGTAGTTTGGAGTTTGCAAGTTCAGTTTCTTTTTAGCAAATGGGCTCCTCATATGTGAACTGTGGACAGATTGAACTAGAATAAAGAGATGAAAGGTGCTGTATTAATGCTGTCAGTATGCCTCATTTTGAGATTTCCAAGATGGATTATCAAGCAGAATGAAGCAGATTGACAGATTTCCCTTTTGAGAAGTTAGGTATATTTTTCGCCATTCTCTCTGCAGTGCCAAGCCTGATCCACCTCATCCAAGGATATTAAGTGCTGCATCGTGCTGCCCCCAACTGGTTCTTTTTGGTGCTTATGTTACCACATCATGACATCTCAGATTATATGGCACTTATATTTTTTTCTAAGCACTTTCATATGCTTGTATTAGATTCTCATAATGACATTGTGAGTTACATGAATCAGGAATTATCATATCTATTTTAGAGGTAGGAAAACTGAAGGATAGCCTCATTAGTTGATTTGTGCAAAGGTAATTGGTTATTAAGAGGCAGAATTGGACTAAAATTCAGATCTCTTGCCTGCTATCCCTTTAGATTCCTTCTTCTTTTGAAAATTCAGTGTCACCCCCAAAAATAGGTATTTAAGAGCTTAATTTTAGGCTCTTCTGAGGCTCTTTGACTCAGTCAGATGCTATGGCCTGTAAGTCTAATATAATGTAGTGGTAAAGAACATGAACTCTGGGCCAAACTGCCTGGGTTTGAACCCTGGTTCTTAACCTCTAAATGCCTTTTATAAAATGAGAATAATAGTACACTTAATTCATAGGGTATGTGCAGATTAAATGAGATAATTAATGTAAAGTTCTTAGACTAGTGCCTGGCACAAAGTAAGCACTATATAAATAAATATTAGCTATTGCTATTGTTGTTTTGTTGCTACTGTTATTATTATTACTCTTGTCATCTCTATGTAAATACATTTATTTGCTCTTTTTTTTTTTTTTTTTAAAAGCAAAGCAGCCCTTCATGGGTATGTAGAAATGATGAACAGCCAAATTTATTGAAAGAGTATCATTTTTTTAAAGATTTTATTTATTTATTTGACAGAGAGAGACACAGTCAGAGAAGGAACACAAGCAGGGGGAGAGGGAGAGGGAGAAGCAGGCTTCCTGCAGAGCAGGGAGCCCGATGTGGGGCTCGATCCCAGGACCCTGGGATCATGACCTGAGCCGAAGGCAGACGCCCAACGACTGAGCCACCCAGGTGCCCCTATTGAAAGAGTATCTTCACATAGCCTTCTACTCACTCCTCAGTTCAGTTTGGTCTTAACTCTGGTCTTAACCAGCTGCTCTGGCCATAGTTGCCAGTGACTTCTTAGTCCCAAGTTCAGTGGACATTTTTCCTGATCACCTTACTTGATCTGTATAGCATTTGATACTTTTGGTCATTTCCACTTTGGAATGTTCTCCTTCTTTGGCTTCTATGGTAACATTCTTGCTTGGTTCTTCCTCTGCCTGCTCCTTTAAATGTTACCATGCCTTTGGATTCTGTTAATTTCTCACCTTATATCTTAAACCCTGGACAACTTCATACATCCCTTGGCATCAGTGACTACTTCAGCTCATTGTTACTGCCCCCTAAATGTTGGTCTCTAGCTCAGACTTTGTCCCTCAACTTTAAGCTCTTTTTAGGACATCTCCACCTTGGCTGTCCCACAAGCTTTTAAACTCAACATGTTCTAGCTGACCTCACTATTTTTAACCTTGCTGCTTCTTCTAAAAACCTGTTCTCTCTATTTTGTGGATATTTAATAATGATAGTATCCAGGGGCCAAGAGCCCAGGATCAACCTAGAGATTTTCATTGTGCTCACCGCTACCCCCCCGACAGTCATCAAGTTTTGTGTGTGTGTGTTTGTTTTTAACTCTGCCATCTAACTATATCTTGAATCTCGCTGTGTTCCAGTGTCTTCCCTATTGCCTTAACTGAGGTACCCTTCTTTCACCAGGATTATTGCAATAATTGCCTATTTACCCTTCTCCATATTCTCCATCTAATCCATCAATCGTACCATTGCTTAAATAATCTTTTCTTTGAAAAGCCAAAGATGAACATTTTGCTCTTCTGCTTAAAAGGCTTATTTTGTTCCCATAGACAGGATGAAGTCCATATATCTTAGCAAAGTATATTGGCTTCACCTGTTTCTACTATTCATGCACTCTGGCCATATTGAGTAAATTAGTTTCCTGAATGCACCTTGCACTTAATCTATAACTTTGCATATGCTGCTCCCTCTGTGTGGATTGTCTTTCTGTCCTGTTCCCCCAGGTCATCCTTTTGATTCCTTATTTCCTATGTACAGCTTCCTCCGACATGCCCAGGTTGACTTTGTAACTTTATCCTCTGCACTCGTTATGCTGTCGTACCTGTACAAAGCTGCATTTTAGCATTTACCAAATGATGCTGTTTGTACCCGTTAATATATTGTCGTCTCCGCAAAGGAAGGGGTCTTTGTGTGCAGCGCCTACCATAGTGCCTGGATGCCGAATAAACCATCAGTAACTTAAAAAAAAATTAAAAAACATAGAAGCTCTATCCTCTAGGTGTTTATCCTCTCATGGTTTCACCACCAGCCTAAACGTTCCTGACAAATGGTGGCTGGGTTTTTCCTTTTGTTTTGCAGTATATCAACTCTGGAAACCTGGAACAGTTGCTAGACAGTAACCTGCATTTGCCGTGGACTGTGAGGGTGAAACTGGCCTATGACATAGCAGTGGGCCTCAGCTACCTTCACTTCAAAGGCATTTTCCATCGAGATCTCACATCTAAGGTATGAAGGCTTTACTTGCACAGCTCTTTGAGACACTGTCTTCCATTACCAAAAAGCTATGTTAAGAAACCAGTCATTAATGAACTTTGAAATGATGAAGATCTTGTATAGAGTTGACATTTAATCACAGAGAATACAACTTACTGCTCTGTATAGCTAGTCCTTAGAAAGCCAATATTGGCTCACAGCAGGTACCTTTTAGTGTTGAGCCAGGCAGCATATATATCTTAAGAATCTTAATCCTTGACTCCGGTCTGAATGAGTGTTGCAGGAGCAGGTGACATGGGAGGGTTAAGGGATTCCTGTCCTATAGGAGCGACAGCAGTCAAGGCAAATTGGGAGCCTGTGTCTTAGAGTTCTCTTTCATGGCCTCCAGAAGGTAGCTCTTCACTGAGAGCAGAAGTTCACTGGTTTTGTCATTTGAGTGCAGGTTTTGAGGGCTATAACGTACTGACCCATTTTCTGTTTGTGTGATTGAGTTTCTGCCCTTCTGCCAGTTCTTCTTTGGCATCAGCTAGTCTCTTGCTGTCCAAATTGCTGTGTGACCAGGTTAGAAAAGAGTTGCTTTTAGAGGAAGTTGGCCATGCTACAAGGCAGGCACTTCAGGGCCAAGTGGCCCAGGACACCACCATGACCAGGCTTATATAAACAGTATTGTTTGATCATTGATGTGGGAACTGTAAGCCATCTAATGTGACTTCTGTGTAAGAGATGATTTAAAATCTTCTAGAGAGGTATAGAGGAGTTTTGTACTTGCCCAAGAATAGCTGTCATTTCATTCTCCACCCTCAACACCTACACATGCACACATATAGACATGCATACCAGACTCATGCACCCCTTCTGTCATGAAGGAGAGGTGAGGGAGCTTGTTATATAACAAAATTTGCAAAGGGGACAGAAGCAAGCTGTACTCTCAGAGCGAATAAGGCCTAGAACAGTAAGTCCTTAGCTACCTCACACGACAATGATTCTTGTGTTCCAAACAGCAGTACTGCCCCTGAGGGACCCTGGCCATTGGTTTATAAACTACTACAGAGAAAATAGCTTTAGGGAGGTGGATGTGGGGCCCCCGGGTGTGGCAGGGCCATTTGTAGTCAGCTGCACTGTTACTGAAGCAGCATTAAGATGGCAAGTGGAGGGGTGCCTGGGTGGCTCAGTCGGTTGGGCATCTGACTCTTGGTCTCGGCTCAGGTCATGTGTCATGAGTCATGAGATCAAGCCCCACATCAGGCTTCCTGCTCAGTGAGGAGTCTGCTTGAAGATTCTTTCCCTCTGCTCCTCCCCCTACTCTCTCTCTCTCTGAAATAAATAAATAAATCTTAAAAAAAAAAAAAAAAAAAGATGGCAAGTGAAATCTGATGACTAGCTGAGGCCTAGCTATGAGGAGTCCTTTACCTTTATTGGGACCTGTAAGGGTTGGGACCTGAAAGGTGGTATCTTATCATACCCTTATTAGGCTTTTCTCCTTCCTTAGAATGTTTTAGAAAATCAAGACTAACTTGCACTTGTTCTAGGCAAATGGGTAGGGTCGTATCAAGACACTGCCTTAGGTTGATAGCCTTCTTTCACCTTGAACATGCAGCCAAAATCAAATCTTTGCATCCTATTGAGAGAACATCATTTCTTCCAAGGTGGAGGGAGATCCTGACCAGTTATCTATCAGTCACGTAGATATTTCCCCCACACTCACATGAATGTCTCCTCTGCCTGGCACCATGGATGAAGGAATATTAGAAAAGGAGAGTTTCTTACTTAGAGGTACTTACAGTCTTGTGGGAAAATAATTAAAGAACAACCCACAGCATTTAATAATTAAGTGTTCAGCTTCAGACTGTAGGTTTTCAGGGAAAAGAAAGATCACTAGGTTAGGGTGGCTAGGCCTTCTGGAGCAAAGCTCCCCCGACGAGTTCCTAAGAGCTGAACCTATTCCCTTCTGTGCTTCCAAAGCGCTTTGTCCCATCGTGCTACTATCCAAGTGTAGCTCTGTCTGGGCTTGTCATTGTTGTATTGTAAAAATGACTAACCTCTTTGGATCTATTGGATAAGAACACTATCCTTTGGTTTTCCTAATAGGGAGTGTGTATTCCTTTGAGATGAGAAATTAGGAATTTAGGAGAAAGAACTCCCTGTGTCTCTGTGATTTTTTGGGTCTGAACTGTAAGGAGGTATTGAGGATACTTCCAAGTGGTGAGAACAAATGACTGCAACCTGAAGACAGGTTGGGAGGTGCACTATAGGGAACCTCAAGTTCAAGAAAAACAAGTAGATTTTATAAGCCAGACCATCCAATTCAAGAGACTGTGTTCATTGCCCTTTAATCATCTCTGAACCTTTGGTAGTTTTGTCTGAATATTTCAGCCTCATTGTAACTGTGTTGCAGGGATTAGGGAGAGGGTTGCATGGCCACGCAGAGCAGCCCCACCCAGGAGACCTGTGTGGTGGTGACAGTGACCATAAGAATGAGAAGTCCCTAAGGGATAAGTAAAGCTAAAGGGACAGAATAGGGCTTTAAGGTCTCCAAATGGTCTCATTGCCAACCTTGAATCTGAGTTTGATTTCTTTAAGGACAATAAAAGGTTTACTTATATTTTAGTAGTGTATACATCATATTATGTGATTGTTCTGTTGTGTTGTATCTCCCACCAGTATACACGTTTCCCAAATGCTCCTCTGCCTCACCTTTTTATTCCTAGCAGCTAGCATAGTGGTGGGGGGGTGGAGGGTTCCTGGCCTTCTTTCAGAGAATGCAGTTGATAGCCCAGAGGCCAAACATCCGCTTGAGAGCTTGGATTTTGAATCCCAGACCCAGTTTGTCCCACCTCTCCAAATGATCTAAGTGCTCTTGAGACCTTAATATGCGCAATATATAAAGCGGATTCTGTCCTTGACCTCACAGGAGCCATCAACCTGGGCCACTCACACCAGAGATGACAGGAGGAACTCACAGTAGTGGAAACATGTCCCGGGTGGGTAAACCAGGGCAGAGAGAAGCAGATGCTTTTTTCCAAGTGATCATGAGCCTATACTAGAGGCAAAAAGGATCCCCTAATTTCCTATCAGAGTGACTCCTGAAAATAGTATTGCCTTTGCAGGGTTCACATGTCATGGTTGCTGCAACACTGCTTTCAAGAGTGAAAAGTCTCAGGGCGCCTGGGTGGCTCAGTCGGTTAAGGGTCTGCCTTCGGCTCAGGTCATGACCCCAGGGACCTGGGATCAAGCCCTGCTTGCGGGGAGGGGGTTCCCTGCTCAATGGGGAGCCTGCTTCTCTCTCTCTCCCTTTGCCTCTCCCCCTGCTTGTGCTTGTGCTCTCTCTTTCTTGAATGAATAAAATCTTAAAAAAAAAAAAAGTGAAAAGTCTGTTGGATAGAGCTGTTCAGTCTAATTCTGTAATTACTTCTAAGAAATAGCCTGATACAGATTTGTGCAGTGATGATGCTGATAATTTACTTAGTAAGAAGTGGAATGTAGGGTGGCTTTAAAAATATTCAGTCATGAGCTCCATCGAGAAGTGGCAATCACCACACACAGGCTTTTACCACTAGCTTAGGAGTAACTAGTACAACTAACTACATGTGAGTTTTGGCTTTTAGGAATGGTCAAGAGAGCAGTTTGTTTCTGCTTAATACCATGACTACCCAGGATCGGGCAAGCACCACGATCTTCTTTGGTTACCCCTAGGAGTATGGGTTATGAATTGTACCTCTATTCTTGGTTGTTGGGTTTGGTTTTTGGTTTTTCATTGACTCAAAGAGGCCACTCTGGTGATTCTACCAGAGTGAAAAGCCTATTCAGCTTGGTCTTAGGCTATACCACAAAACTAGGAGCAGAAAATGCCAATTTTCAGAGATCAAAGAGAGCATGAATTAGGAACAAAGTTGAATGCTGGAGAGATAGAGAGTGTCTGTTAGGGCACCCTGTAGTTGTTTTTTTGGGCTTGTTTGTTTGTTTGTTTTTATAATGAAAACTATCAACAGCTTTTGGGAACCATTCATACTGGGCTATAAGAAGACACAGTATTGGAGACATAGAAATTACTGGAACCCAGTCTGTACCATCATCGATGGTTTCTTAGTCTGGTTGGGAGATCGCTATGTGAAGAATATTACATAAGAGCTGTGGTAAAGATATGGGATCACAGGGTGGGATAGAGAGCAAGGGTTGGGACACGTTACAGCAAATCAGATAATCTTCTAAGAGACTTGGACCGTAGCAGCCTCTGGGGCATTTAGGAGGGCATTTCAGTCTCTGATCTCCCTGTGCTGTAAAAAGAACCTCTTAAGCTTTCTTGAGATGTAGAATCAGTACTTTCCTCTCTGATCCTAACTGGGTTTATGGAGTGGATTTGTTGAGGGGTGAGGGGAAAGAGGTAATGGCACATCGAAAGCCATTTTGTTGTTGTAGAGATAACTTTAGCTTGGAACTAACATTAACAAATGGACTTGGCATTTCTCCACTCAGGTGGTTTTATTCGGTGCTAATACTGACTATGCAGCTGTTCTAGGAGAGCTCAGGAACTTCTCTCAAGTGCCTCTTCTGGCCTGGTTCTGAAGGATCTGTGTTGGCTTCCAGAAATGCATTCATGGTCACCCCTTTGAGTCCCTTGTCAGCTCAGTCCCCAAAGCGGAGAGTTGAATATATGATTAGTGTATGCCTTTGACACATGTGAAAAGAAGCCCAGGTGTTTCAATTATCTGCCCAAATTTTTGTATAACAAACTTTTGCTAGGCCCTTTCTGTGTGTCTGTGCTAGGTTTGAGACACAGAGATGAATGGGATCATTCCGTCACTGAAGAGGCAAATGTAGAAGTCTCTCTGCTGTAGTGTGATGAATTCTAATAGGGGAGGAATGCAGCAGTAGGGCCTAGGCTCCTTTTTGAACCTGAAAATCAGGAACCTCTCACCTCAGGGAAGTCTGTCTGAGCCTCCCTTATGTCTGCTGCTTACTCTAGGCAAGGATACTTTCTTTTTTTTTTTTCAGAGGGAGGCGGGGGAGGGCTG